CTACAGCTGTGCTAAAAAGTTAGCTGTATAAAATGAACAAAATTTAAACAAATTTATTTTTGGTAAACATAGTCGTTTCTAAGTTCAATTTTTGAAAATTTTGAAGGATCAATCTTTGATGAATTATAAAGAGTTGAATTTTATGTTAATCCAATTTGTTATTAAAATAATAAACTAAAATTGCGTTTAGACATTGATTGTGAGTAAAATAAAAAAAAACAATACAAAATTTTTCATACATAATTGTAAATCTGTTAAAATTATTATTAATTGTTTAACTTGTAATATTTAATTTTCTATATACAAATTTACATAATTAATAATTTGTATAATTTTGTACATTCTGCAAATTATCAAACACAAGGATGAGAGTTAATATTCAAATGCGCACAGTGAGTAAATCAAATATACATGTAAATAAGATATGAATTTATGCAGGCTTTAATATATAAACATAACTATATATTATCGATAGAAAATTTTTTCCCCCTACTTGATTAAGAACCAGAAATTATATTATTTTTTTCGACATAGGATTTGTATTACTATATATATGTATTAATTTTAAATGATTTACAAATTATTATTATTATTATCATTAGTGTTATTTAACGATCACATTAAAAAGAGTTAATTCAAAGCTGTAAATTAGTAAAAGGGATAAAGTAAAATCCATTAGATTTGTTAATTAGAGAATTTTTTTAAAATACATACACACGATTTTATAATGAAGTTGTTGACTGTTTTATCACACTGTCCTATGTAAAGTAATCACGTCAACCAAAAAAGAATTAAAAACTGTTCATTTCCATCCGGACAGTCGTACTTTAATTAAATTTCGTATTTTCCTTCCTCTCGTTAATGATAATTAACTATTGAATTTCGAGTTTTCAGGAGTAAACAATTGTTCGTTCATTTTGGTTGCATATCCTTTTTGCTGAATCTATTAAATAAATTCAATTCGAATTCTAAAGCGAAACTAAATTAGATTTTTAATATATATAAATGTAAAACCATTATACATAATTTTCTTGGAATAAATAGTTTAAGTCTATCGTGACTTTTGGGGAAAAAATTATAATACCAAAGTATAAATATATTAAGTTTATGTTCGGCTTTGCTTTTGATTTGGTTACAATCCTGGAGACAGCGGCGAAATTCTTTTATAATATAGAATATATATGAAATTTCTATGGACAAGTTGTAGTTGCAGAAAGATTATATAACAAGTATATTAGGACTCTTGAAGGAGGTGTAAGTTCTGAACTAACATCCATTATATTAGTGTAAATTCAAGTGGTTGGAAGTGGAGCAGTGCACTTAAGAAGAGTAGTTAAGGGTTAAACGTCTTTAACTACTGTGAGTATGCGAAGCCGTTGTGCTTAAATGGATTCCATCACACACACACAACTTTCTCTCTTTCTCTCTCTCTTCAGGAACTTGCGGAATATATTTTCATCATGTAATAGTTTTATTACAAAATTACCATAGTTTTATCAAGTTTTATGTGTGTGTTTGCATCTCTTTCTTTCCTTAAAATGAAAATTCATTTTCAACAATAAAACATTTTTCATTGTATTAATTAAACAATATTAAGAATAATTTCCTATGGAAATTGTCTCAAGGTTTGTCTCGAGTTTACATGACCCTCAGGGCGCTTATATAATTTAAAATGAATATTTATTACGATCCCTTTTAGTTTAATAGAATTGCAAAATTGTACTCCTCACATTTTCTACACTCTGAAGAAACATTTCATATTAGAATAAAATAATTTTAAAAATTTATAGAACAAGAAGATGATTTTAACGTTAAGAACTTTAGACACATAAAAGGAAAAGAACATTGTAGACATATTTAAAAAAAATATATATATGGATCCTTATCAAAATTCACACTTGGCAAACCTTAGTTGCGGTACTTGCTACTTTTTCTGTTGAAAAGCTCAGGCGGACATGCCAAAGCTATCGTTCTACAAGACGCTGGATAAGATAAATGATCAGAAACTTTCTCTCTCTCTCTCTCTCTGGTACAGTTACGGAGGCAACCGAGACAAACCATTTATCACTGCTTTCATATATTTATTATATTGCAAACCCTTTCTGTCATCCACAGCGTATACCATTTAATCGTTTCATTTCAGAGTCTAAGCCGCACAGTAAACTACGATACTTATAGACGAAGAAAAATTATATTTTAAATCTTCACTAAATGATAAACTCTGGTTTATCGTACAGTTTCTATATCAATAAAAAGGAGAATATTATTTCAAAGGAGGGAAAAAGTTTTTTTTAAGCTGCATCATTTTTAATAAATATTGAATTTCTAAATAGATTTAAGCTGATTTTATCAGCAATTTTGATGAGCTGAATTTAAACAAGTTACAAAGTTTTCTAAGAAATAAAAAATCTTGCTCTTTTTTTATATAATTCTTTATTAAATTTGTAATTTAGTTTTATTTTTATGTTTATAGGGAAAGAAAATCAATTTTAAAAATCCTCTGTACGCGACATTCTTTTACGATTTCAAATAGAATATGTCCCATATAAAATTGGAGAAGAAATATCAATTTATAGAAAAACATTTATTTCTGTATAAAGTATCAGGAATGGATTTAGCAAAAAAAATTGTGAATCTTTTTTTTATTTATTTTACAAATAAACATGCTTACAAAAAGAAAAATAATTCCCTTTCGTACTAAAAGTACTAAGTAAATTTTCGATTGCCACATGAAGAAAAAAAAATATGTGACCAATCATGACTCTTAAGTCTGAATCTTGTCTCTTTTGATAAATAGAATGACCGCTTTACGAATCTTTTACAATAAAGGATGAGAAAGAGACAGAGAGGAACAGATGAGGCGACAATGGATTCTCTAATACCATTCTGAAAGAGCAGTTCTCACCTCATGTGTCTCTTTTGTTGAAGAGCTTTTCCCTCGCGATCAAAAGCTTATTACTAGTATTTACAAATATAAAACACAAGTTCTTTTAAATAAAAAAAAATTTTATTTAATATAAATAAATTAATATCGAAAAAATATAATATATACTCCTTCTATACATGTTAGATTTGTGTTTTACAATTTGAATAGAGTTATTTTTTTATCCGACATTCAACGCGAATCAAAAAGAAAAAAACATCCGTTGGTTATTCACAGAATGGAAGAAATATATAGGAATCGGAATGCCCTAAGGAAATTTATAATGTAATGATGCTTTTCACTATTTCTCCCTTTTTCCATTTTCACGCTAAATTTCATATTTTCATTTCTTCTTCTCGTTGCATAATAGTTTTAATATTCTAAATATGAAAAAATTGATCTAATTCATAAACATTTTTCACTCAATAGAAAAATTCGAATTAAAATTTGAATGAACAAACAAAATAACAAAAAAAAGGAAAAAAATTATTTTTTTTAGATTTTATTAAATATGACTCATCAATAATAATTGTCAAAAAAAAATATTGAAAATATTATTTCAATTTTACAATGGAGACTAAGTATTTTTTTATAATGGCACGTGTAAAATTGTGTAATAAAGGAAAGAAAATGAAAAAAGCACATTATATAAGTGGCAGAAAAAGCGAAAGCGTCGTTTTGTGGACTAAAAATGGTAGTAGGAGGTTAAACCCGCCAAAAAAGAATAATGTCGTTAATTAAAGTCAAAGAATTTAAGAGAGGCATTCTCTACTTCAGGCCAACATTCACACATACATACTAAATACCAGACCAACTCGTGCGCTTCTATTTGTCGCCTCGTTATACATACTTTGCGTCAGAAAATCTTTCTTTGATTAAAGAAAAACCTTTTCAAAAAAAAGTATGTATTTTATTCGTTTAGAAAAAAAAGTTTCAACAAAATGATAGTTGCTTTTTTTATTAAAAATAATACAATTTCATTTTGAATTCCACTTTCATCATTACTATCACTTTCATTTTGACTCAAGTTTTTCACTTAAAAATGAAAATGAAAGTCAATGTGAAATTACAAAATCGCACTCTGTGTTAAATAGAAAAATTATAAACAAAGGAAAAAAGGGAACTTGAAATCCAAGATTTGGAAAGAGACGAAGCTAATCGATAAATCGGGAATCTGAAACTGTTCTCAACTATAGTTGCATCCTTTACGTCCCCGAGAGTAACGTACATTTACCAAGTCTCGTGTGAGTAATTTGCAATTTCCGAGTATGGTTCATAATTATGGAATTGCAGAGAGACTATATATACTTCGCTCCATTAACTTGTTTTTAGTCTACGAATCAGACGGAGCAACTAATCTTAACTCCTTGTTCAAAACCATCGAAATATTTTCAATTGTTGAAAATTTAATAAATTTTTTTAAAAATTACTGATTCTTATAAGGGGGATAAAAATTGTATTAATTAAGTTTTTTTCTTTTCAGTCTTTGTAATTATAATTATTCTTATAAGGAGAATAAAAATTGTATTCAATACTGATCATCCAGGAAGAAATTAATTTTTTCTTTCCAATCATTTTTTAATTAATTGCGGTGCAATTGAAGCAAATTGTAATTATGGTGTTTCGTTCAGTCGAGCGATGTATTGTCAGAAACGGCTGGGAATATAGGTTTCTCTCTCTCTCTCTCTATACGAGGAAGGAATTACGGCCTTCCACACAACCTCTACAAGACCTGCTGTAGACATGTCTCCTGGATGATATATTCTCAACAGTGCCACAAGGTCTTGGGTATAATACACGCGAAACGTTCTCCTCGGCTTTAAACTATTGAAAATTATGTCCTCCTCTCTCTACCCTTATCTCTTTGCTCGCAGGATACTGGCCATGACCCCTAAAGTGAACTTGACTCTAAAGCCTGGAAAGATATAATTGAAATATCTAACCAAAACTTTGAATTACGAAAGCAATTCATATAATTGTCTAATGTTCTGTTATAAAAAACTTTTTCTAATCTAGATAATTTTTTTTCTTCAATTATCATTATATACTAAAAGTGAAAATTTTTTCGATTTTTCAGATATTCAAGAATTTTACGAATTAACACTATTGGATGAATCGAAATCAGTGCAGCAAAAGACTGTCGAGACTATTCGAATTGCTGATAAATGGGAGGCAAGTGATGGTCCAATTACACCGACTTATGCTCAAAATGACGTAAGTAATATTTATAATTTTTTTTTTTTCATAAAAAAATTTTTGGACTAAAATGGAAAGAATTAAATGAAAGAGAAAAAAATGTAATAAAATTAATAATTAATAGAATTAAAAATTATTTCTTTTCACATACTTTTCTACGTCAAATTATCGTATAATTCTTTAAAGCTCATTCCTTATTGTCCAAGAGCAGTATATACATATAGTATATATAGGTAAACGTTATAAACTGTCGAAGAGTTACAACCCATTTTTAAAACGGTCGTTAATTTTCGATAACAGTAAAGAAACGAGCTTTGAAGGACAAAAAAAGTCGTAATCGTGAAAATAAAAGTAGTTTGTCAATAGTATAAAAAAAGAAGAAAAAAAGAAGGCATACAGTTAAGAAGGCATAAATTTTGATTCTCAAAACTTTTCGTTTAGCAGCTTCTTAGAAAATGGATTTTCATAAACCTTTTTCAAGGTGTCGTAAAATTTTATTTGAAAACCACAACAGAGAATAAAAAAAAAACTTCGAATATCGCATGAGAAATCTTTATCAAAATGAAATATTTGGAAGATCATTTATTAGAAACATTTAAAGTTCTATGCTGTTTTTTTATGTATATGTAAGATGACTTTTTTCATATTTCACAAATAGTAAATGTTCGTTTATATCGAGTTTATTTAGTGTCCTTTTATAAAAAGTTGAAACGAGATGAAATAAATGAGGAGGAGAGATAAAAATATTTCTAAAGTCGTTTATATACCATGGTGCCTTGAAATTTTCGCGGCGGTTGATAGGTGAAGAGGAAAGTGAACAAGCGTTGGCAGGCCATTTAGAGAGTAACATTAAATGCTCCCACGAGGATACAATGCTTTTCCACTGGTAGAGAGAGAGAGAGAGAGAGATGCACTTAAGCTCGACAGAGGGCACACGCTCTTTACTTTTTATATATAACATAATATACTAATAATAATAAAAAAATAATAATAAATCATCTAAAAAATCAACAAAATATCTCAATGAAATTCCTGACTTGGAGTGATCGTTATAACTTTGCTGTTTATTTCTGAAATTTTTTTAAAATTTTGCTTTTCAGAAAAAAAAAGTTTTCAAATTTTTGTCATGTTTGATACGTGACACATTATATAATACAAAAGAAGAGGATTTTTTGCAGTGAAAATAAATTTAATGTGGTCAGGAACGTAGAGCGCATCGATTTTGTTTTCTTTCTTTGCGTCTGACCACAGAGAATTTATTCTACTGCGAAATGTGCTCTCTCCCTCTCTTTCTGAATTGAGATTCAGTGTTGCTTTTAAAATATACATTAGGCTGAATTTAAATTTTTAAATCTGACAATATTTTCAATTTTTTTTCTTCTCATTAATACAGTGAAAAAAAAGAAAAAAAATAATCACATTACTTGACTATTTTTATCGAAATATGTTTATTCGAATGAAATAATTTTTATTTGAATTAAAAAGAATATCGAGAATCAAAACATATATTCTTTTTTTTTATTTAAAAATCATTGACAAATGTTTATTCTCTTTTCATATCTCAATTCTCTCTGACAATTTTTGGAAAAATCCTCCGAGACACGATTGAACATTTTCGAAGAAAATTCGAGATAAAAAAAAGAAAATAGTAAATATATCCGGAAAGGACAGAGAGACAGAGAAAATCTAAGAATAGGGGAGAAAAGATACTTTAATCTTTATCTTTTTGAACAAGATCCCAATCGATTTTCAGTTCTCATGGGAAATCGGAAACTCGAGAGAAGTGGGGAGAGAGAAAGCCTTCTCGAACTTTAACCCCCTTGGTGATTTTTATATACGAACACGAATATTGCTGTATTTACAATAGGTGGAATTTTTCATTACATCCAAGAGATCCCCTTATCTTTTGCCATTGCATAGTCAGAGACACGATTTGAAGAATAATGGAAAACAAATAACGTATATCAAACGCAACGCAAAACTAGTGGAAAAATGCTTTTCTTTCTTTTATAAATAAAAAATGTAGTTGCGAACCCAATATTCTTATTGAAATTGAAAAATATTGAACATTTTTGAAAAATTCCTATTTTGTTTTCTTTTCCTCGAAATAAATTATATGCTATTCGTACCAAAATAGCAAAGTGTTACTAAAATAGAATAATAAGATAAGTAAATTTTCATCATTCATTGTATATGTGTGTGTGGTCCGTTGTGTTGGAACACTGTCAGCAGGTATCTCATTTAGAAGGGAAGAGATACCATCGTTGGGAAATGTAGCGTAACAACTGCAGCGTCATCCGAGTGCTGTAAAACATTGTCCAAACTGTGTTTTGAAACTAACTTGTGTCCTCTGAGTGAAGTGCATAGTTCTGAGCGAGCATAGGCAGCCTGAGCGGATAGATGCAGCCGGTACAATGGCTCTAGACACTCCCCATGTATACAGAAAATACATATATATACAAATACTTTCACCCATCCTTTTCATAGTATTTACGGCCCGCACGAATTTCAAAGCCTTGATGCATTACCGTTTTCAAGGGGACAAGTGGAATTTATAGAGGCCATTTCAAACTCGACGACCTCTTTTTCGAAATGCTTCAACTCTCCAAACTCTCTGTCACTTCCTCCTCTATATATATAGAAATTGCAATTAGCGACATTCGCACAACTTTCGCTAATCTCAAATTTTGTTACACTTGATGTGTAATTCTGGATATTTTAAATCAAGTTATCTTCTTATCTCCAGACATTTCCTCCTTTTTGTGTTTCGAAATTCTGTTAGTTGTTTATTTCATTATGAAAAATAAATAAATTAACAATTAAAATGAGAAGCAAAAGTTTTTAATCCACGATATTTAAAAATATTGTCACCTTCATAAACATTTAAATTTCACCTTAATTTATGAAAATCTACTAAAGTTGATTATATAAGTACTATAAGCTTAATTATCGAAAAACATTATAAGATGCAACAGGTTGTAAGAGAGAGAGAGATCGTTTTCAAACAAAAGTTTCTCATTTTTTCTCACTCTTTCGCGGTACTTTGCGGTTTCTAAAACTTAATTTCAAAGACAATTTTTCTTTTTTATACATATATATATAATTGAATATATTATTTTTTCTGAAAAGAAATTTTTAAACATCTGTGGCAATCACAACTTCAATCTACTGAAATATTTTTTGTTAATTTAAGAAAAACTTTATATATATAAAATAAAACTTTTTTTAACAAATTTTCCCGCTTCCCAAAGATAAAAAAACATGTCTCGGAGTATAATGTATATGAGTTGATTAAACTTTAATGGACAAGTTTTTAATAAAAGGGAGAGAGAGAGAGAGAGAGCGAACACATAGTAACGTAATTCTGTGGCTCTTTAATTAAACTTTTTAGAATTTTTTTTTATATTTAAGTAAGAGATCTAAAAGCTTTTAACATGAAAGCTAAATACCTCTGTAACTGCATGTGTAGTCAAAGACCATTATCTTAAAGACTTTAAGCTTCCAACCAAAAGTTTATAAAGTTCGTTAAAAGTAGATCGGAAGTGTTATACTGAGTTCTCTCACAAAATTCTTAAGTCAACTAGATATTAGTTTGTCGTATTAATTTTTCAGCATGAAAAAAGAAATGTTTTTCTTTTGAAGAATATTATATTTATTTCTAAAAATAAAATAAATAAAGATTATTTGAGTCAAATAAATTTTTGTTTTCAGTGTGTATAGTAATTTTCAATTAACCATTTTTGGCGCGATTTAATATATAAAAATTATAGGGAAAGATAGGATTAACAGAAGCTTAAAAATAAATGTGTTATTTTTTCTGTTTTCTTTCTTCGACTCTCGCGGAAGATTCTTTAATGCCAGTGAAGTTGGCTGTAAATATGTCAGGAGAATCTCGTAAAGCAAAGGTCATAATTTCCGTTTCAAGGCGCCACACACCATGAGAGCTTCCTCTCTCTTTCTCTCTCTGTTCTTGAGGCCAAGGAAACTTAGTGTAAACGGATTAAGCCCTCTGTGGGTTGTGCCAGGGTGGTAGTTTCAACGGGTTTCGTTCAACTGACTTGTAGTTTCAACTTTTGAGAAAGAGAGAGAAAGATTGTGTCTGAGCATAAAATAAAAAGATAGTTTACTCGTTTCTCCTGCTTCTCTCGTGTATATCAAAGTTTTTACGAGATCGTGTATATCTACTGACACAATATATATATATATATATATATATATATATATATAACTATTCCTTTTTTTAGACGATGATAAAACAAGCATTAAAATTACACGGATTTAATACAATCTGCTTTAATTGGTTTTTATTTGAAAATAAAAGAAACACTCTCATTAAAAGTAAATTTCCTTCAATTTTCTCTTTTACATTTTATAAAAAAAGAAAAAATACTCTCAGGAGAATTATAAACTGATTTTCTTTAACGTTGTTTAGATATATATATATGTATATAAAGTGTGTTGGGAAGTGTAAATAATAAATGATTCCCGAGAGCATGGACTTGCAATACAACTAATCTCACTGAATGTAAACTGTGAGTGAACATTTGTCGCTCTATTCCATGATAAACATGTTCGAAAGGACTAAGTACAAGAATGTGTCGCGCATATATATGTGTGTGGAAAATGGTGTTTGCCACAATGTCAGAGCGCACTCGGTACCCAGAACAATTTGTTAGTTTGTGCCACTAACAGAGTCTATTTCTCATCCAATGTTACGCGTCTTCGTATATATAGTATCAACTCAGTCTGATTGATACAGACAGATAAGATTAGATTCTCTAGTTCACTACAATTTTCTGTTCTTAAAAAATAATTTGTTTTAGCTTCCAATTTCGTATTAAAATAATAGTGTTGCATCTTATTTTAATATCTCCTAATTTTCTGTGTTAACAGTTATTTCTAATTTTGCAAAAAAGCAAAATTTCCATTCGAAATTAGAAATTTTTTAATTTTAGTTTAGGAATCTTTTTTTAAATAAAAATTTAAAAAGAAAAAGATAACTTTTCAAATTTACCCTC